TCCCCCCAACACACGTGCCTTTCACAAGTTCCTCTGCGGATTTGGGCTCCTCTTAGCGAGCGCAGTCCCCAATAAAAAAAATCCCGGGATGTTTTTTGCCTCGTCTGGTTTTGCCAGACGTACTGGACCGGGCGTCGGCCTAACAGGCTAACCCCTTTTTTTTTTTTTTTTTTTTATAAAGGAAAATTCACAGTTCAACCTGGGGTTATCCTGGGATCCTTACCCAGCTCGTGACAGAATACTGTCTGTCCCAGACTTTCTACTCATCCTCTATCCCGATGAATCCTACCAGAAGCCATTTCTTAAACCCTAAACCCCTGGGGTCCGCCTCATGCCTGCTCCTCTATCCCAATGTATCCTACCAGAAACCATTTCTTAACCGCTAAACTCCTGGGGTCCTGCGCGTGCCTGCTCCTCTCAGCTGTAAGGCTGTCAGCTTGGCTTATGTAGCAAGAGCAGGGTAACGCGTTTGGGCGACCATGAGTGTCTTTCCTTATTACTCCTCACTTCTTGAGCCCCATGATTCCGTAGATGTCTCAACGGCCGGCAAGGGCCTGTCTTGCGTCTGTGAGTGTCTGAGAGACGACTGACATACGGTCGTCGTGGAGCTGTTGGCCCGTCAAGGTTCCCCAGGCGAGTCTGAGAGTGTTGCCCCTTATGGTCCCCAACTTGTTGTTTGGCTGGGTCTTCCCAAATACGCTTCTTTGTGCGGCGCCAATCAGAATGGTACTTGGCGAGGAGGGTTTGTATGAGCCCCTCCCAAGCTTCGGCCAGTGATACGGGCTGTTTGGCGATTGTGTGCTTGCAGCGCTTCTTCCAAATCGCCCATAGTGTGAGGGGCCCGAGTCTTCGGTAGAGTGTACGTTGCCGCCTTTCGTGCAAACGGGGTTCTTTAAGCCCTGTAAGTGTGACCACCTGGTCATCCGGCAGGGGGGGGCAGATGTGGCTGCTTCCCAAAGGTTTGCCGATCTAGCTCTGCTCTCAGTTGTGCTGCCGACGGGCAGGTTACTAAGCAGTGTGGGAGGTCTTCTGGAGTGCCCTCATCGCCGAGTGCGCAGATCTCATCGAAGTCGGTCCAGGCTGCTGGGGATCAGCATCTGCTGATCCATTGGTTGACATAGTGGTAGATCAACCACTGCATGCTTCTCACTTTCGTGTTTTTGATGGACAGCGGTACTTGCCAGGTTAGTGTGATGTGGCTTCCCATTCCCCCGGTGAGGTGCTTATCCCAGCGTTGTGCAAGTATCTGTTGTGTGTTAACCGGACGTCTTCTCAGTCTGTAGCCCACCCTGGTAGTAGAGTCTAGGATATTGGTACGGAGAGACACCAATGAAGTGCTGGAAGACGTTTTCCAGGCCCATTCTGCCGGGTCGAACTCCAGGTCTTGTATGGTCATTGTCGGGGCGTAAAATAATTTTATTTTTTACTTTAAAATTTGGTAAAGAATTTCGATGTCACCCTGAGGCAAACGTTTTTCAGTTTGTTTTTCTGCATAACGGAGTTTTTTTTTTTTTTTTGGTCCTTGCACGGCCCGGCTGCCCGGGAAAACAAGGTCACCCCGGCGGCCCGGCTGGTAGCCTAGATAGGCAGGTAAATATAGGCACTTCAATTATGGGGTGGATGCATGGATGGACAGACAGACAGATCAGTAGGCAGTGGACACAGAGAGAGGCTGACCGATGGACAGCAAGGAATAGGCAGAATGAACAGACAGACAGATGGGCAGGTGGACAGGCAAATGGATAGACAGGTGGATAGGCAGGTGAATATAGGCAGGTAAATATAGGCAGTTCAATTGGAAGGTGGATGCATGGACGGACAGACTGACAGATCAGTAGGCAGTGGACAGTGGGCACAGGCAGATGCCCAAAGATCGTCAGTTAGTCAGGCACAGACAGATGGATACACAGACGGATGGACAGACAGATAGATGCACAGTTGGAGAGACAGACAGATGAATAGACAGGTGGATGCATGAATGGACAGACGGACACATCAGCAGGCACACAGACAAATGCAGACCGATGGATCTGTCTCTTATACACATCTAGATGTGTATAAGAGACAGGAGAGAGAGAGAGAGAGACAAGCAAGTAAAGACAGAGAGAGACAGGGACGCATGGAGGGGAGTGGATGAAAGTCATGCAACCACATCAAGAAGAAACCTTTTCAAGTACTCTGTTGGACCTCCGATACCCCATACAAAATAGTACCACAGTGACCTGTTCTCTCATAATTCAGCACACTGGATAAGGGGATATAGCCTATATAATAGTATATAGCTCAATCCCCTAAAAGACTAAAAAGTGCCTTATATGTTAAAAGTCTACAACAACATCGAAAAGGATATGAAAAACCGGCGCAGAGTTATGGCTTACCTACCAATACGACAACAAAGTTAGCACCTGCAACTGGTGGGCATGAACGCAAACTAAATGCATCCAAAAAAAAGTTTAAAAAACACTAAAAAAAAACTGAACGCATCAGTGTACATCGACTGCATTGACCACAGTGAAACCAGAAAGCATTCCACCCCACCAACTGGGGTCCGTATATTTGGCTCAGCACCTCCACGCCTTACTCTAAATCTCCCTACATCCCCACAACTCCACCCTTGTTCTCCACCTAGTCGAGGGGCCAGTACTGGTTCAAGTAAACACTCAAGTAGCAGGTAGGCCGGTACCACTCAAGTAGTGGTAGAAGTGTCGGGTACTGGAGGCCGAGCAGAAGAAGACAAAAGTTGGCATTTTTAGAGGCCCAGTAGCGGTAGGTTAGAGGTAGGCCGGTACCAGTCCAAGTAGCCTGAGTCTAGGGCCTGTGCGGATGATAGCAGAGCCTGCAATGATGTTTCCCTCCGAAAGGGAGGAGGTACTGGTTGCTGAGACTCGGCCTAGGAAGTCACCGCCCAAGAGGCCAGTAGGCCGCTATATCTTCAGGAGGAGCAAGCAGCTCCTCCTCGTTTGCGGTATGCAAGGATTG